GTGTGTGTGTGTGAGACAGAGACCTGTTGGACCAGATGTGTTTCTCTCATCAAAACAAATCATCATCATGAAACAGTGAGTAGTCAAAATGTGATTAATTGTTTATATAAGAGTGCGTCTGTGTCTGTTCTGACATGCATGGCGATATCTGTGTGTGTGTGTGTGTGTGTGTGTGTGTGTGTGTGTGTGTTGTGTAATTGCACACAGCTGAATCATTTGCAGTCCTTGGGTGTGTGTTTGAGTGTGACACCTCTGTACACACACTGTGCATTATTTTATTGCTGCGCTCGGGTTTCACTGACTCTGATTAATTCTCAACTTTAACCTTAACTTAAGGCAATGTCTCACTTTAGAGGACACACACACACACACAGAGTCAACCTTCACAACAAGCTGAATTCAGCGTTTTGGTTGTTTTTTTTTTGCTGTGTGGATCAATGCTCTCAACCATTATTCATCTAATGAAAAAAAAACATTAAAAGTCAAGGGTTTTATTTTGAAAGGTCCACACTGTAAATCTGCTGTTAGCGTAAAATCTTCCTGCCAGCATGTTTTTTTCTTTTTTTGGTTTTGATGTACAACAGAGAAAATGTGAAATCAATATTGTGTTCTTAAGACTAAATACCAGTTGATGAAAGTCAGTTCAGTAAAAAATGAAGTTAAATAAATAAAATAAATGTGTAATTAAAATGAATTCATCAGCCGAACATGTGGAGCTGTTTGAGTCAGATGCTCCAACGGTAACGAATAAAGTAAACTGCATCATATAAAGAGATTAACAGATTCATGTACTTATAAAAAGCATGTCTGTCCCCACATATTGGTCTAATTTTAAAATCTTTTAGCCTGAAATCCCAGCAGACTGCAGACCGTCGGGGTAAAACTGAATCCACCAGCAAAAATTTCAATTCCAATTTTAATTCTTTCAGCAAAGAGTTTATGATTCACCAAACCTCTCAGTCTGATCTTGACGTAATCTGAAACCAGTTCTTCCAAAAGTCCCAATGTCCGCTGTGAAAAAGGCTTTTATTTTAATCAGTCAGTAACTATCTGAAAGGGCCAGTTCACCGTATCCTTCCTCTTACCTGTAAATGCTAGTTTTCCATTGGGACTGTTTCCCTCCAGACGAAGGACTGATATCATGACCCGGTCCCAAGATAGTCCTCGGACCTCGTCCTCCTCGGCTGAGCTGAACGAAGCTCACCTAATCGCTGAGAGAGCTAATGACCAGCTGCGGTTGGCGGTGGTGATTCTTACAGATTTTGTCAACTAAAATGTGCGTCACAGGTTACGTCCTGCTGCTTTGGGTTTGGTTATCCAAGAAAAAAACAAAGAAAAGTCTTGGAGGAAGTGATTTGTTTGCTTTGCTGTTGGATCAGTGGCAAGAAATTAGATTTTGATCGCACGTCTGCAGCGGTGCACAGCTGACCCTTCAAACATGGAGATAAACGCGAGTACATCTCCAACCCGAGGCTCAAATATGTTTTGCAGCTCTTTTTGGACAGCAGAGGTTGCTGACCCCCGGTCGAGATCGATGAACAGCTCCACACGTTGGCGAATTGTCCCTTTAAACCCACACTTACAGTTTAAAGGTCCTGCACTGAGGGACATTCGGTTCACAGGCAGTAGTCATGTGAACAATAAAAACAACAAGACAATAATTGCACATAATTCACCTCATCACTGCAGATGATCAAACCATCTCAACAGGAAGCAGTGACGAAAGCGAGGGGAAATCCCCCGTCACTTTTACCACAGGAAACCGGCCCAATTACACTCGTTCCTCCATCCAGCTCAACCTCCGCTCAGCTGAGGAGAGCAGCAGCCCGAGGAGAGCCGACATGCAGGATGGTAAACCGGCTAGACCTGTACCGCGCTACGTGAGGTAAATATATTGATTCATTACAGGCTTGCGATGCCCAGAAAGGCTGTCAGTCAACCCTGCACTGTCACGGGTCACATGTTGTAACCACAATGAAAGTATTCTCATTCTCATTCTCACTCATTTTTACTTTTATTATTTTATTTATGTGCTGTTTTCTCTCATTTATTGTTAAAACAGGGACACATTCATTATCAGGGCAGATCAATTATCGTCATAATGGAAAATGTGTATAATTATAAATGATAAAACATCCTCTGCTCTGATGGATGAAATGTGTGGAGGATATTTTAAACAGCTTCCTCCAGGATTCAGACCAGAGCTCATTATCATCTCATAAATCCAACCAATCAAAAGCCGCTTTTACAGAAGCTCTCACTCGTGTAAACACAGGCGAGGTAAGAAGAAGAGAAACGCCTTCGATGTGTTTTCAAACTGACACCGCTTCACATCTCGAACCGATGCATCACGCAGGAAGTTTATTTGTGTCGGTGATCAACATCTAAACACTCTGAAGCTCCTTTAAGAGGGAATCACCAGCAGTGTGTTCCCCAGGATGTGTGTGTGTGTGAGAGAGAGAGTGTGTGTGTGTGTGAGTGTGTGTGTGAGAGAGAGAGTGTGTGTGTGTGTGTGTGTGTGTGTG